GCAGCCAATTTGTGCGAATGCGACCCGCTTCACTGCCGGGATCTGGTGACTATTCTATTCAATTGGAGACACTCCAGTCTCCTGATTTCATTCTTAGGGCTTACAACCTAGTTAGTGTACATACCGTCTCATCCGGACAGCCTGATTCTGAGAGCGATGGAGAAACAGGTACGTGGAATTTATTTGGTCGTACTACATATTCCTCACGATGACAGAATGCTGTTCTAGAATCTCCCAAACTTCTATCAGTATATAACATAAACCAGGCCAATGCCAGTACTTTTAATTGTGTCTTTCCTCGTCATATATATACATATACATATATATATATATATATATATATATATATAGTGAACAAACTGGAAGTTTGTATGTTTAACAGTAGTTTTCTCTGGTGAATGGGGGGAACGCCTATTCTTACCGGCTTCTTGATCAGTGAATCCTTAATTGTTTGATTAATATTCGTGTGTAAGAATTGTCATTTTTCTTTATTTGTTGTTCTTCAAATCGATTTTGTAACGTCATTTTCAACTAAAAGGCTGATTCAGACTAACTTAGGTCATTTTCGATCCTCTTTTCGCTTGACGGTGAAGTAAAACGAACTGGAATAATCTAACTTGTTTAATGAAAAAATAAATAATATATATGAATGGATTAGTTTGTTATCACGAATTTCCTGTCGAGGCGTTCAAGTAATTTTCGCATACACTGAGAATTGTTGTATCTCGGGAATTAATTCTACCACATTTGTCAACAGTTGAATTCCTTGTAGCTATAAAATATTCTCCAAATGTTCAAAAAACAAAAATATAGCTAAAAAATAATGAAGCTATTAATCTAGTAGCGAGAGAACGTAGGGATCACTCACTTAATTTTCATGAAATTGACGTAGACAACTTACCTCATTTTTTGTATTCGAGTTTTACAATAATTGTTAAATGGTTGGTTCACGTCCATAAAACTCAATTACCCTGATTCTTCAGTTGGATTGTGGCTTGAATTTGTCTACGATCGGGTTCAATATTTCTCCATTTGTGAAAACCAACTGTTCTATCATGGTATTTAACACCTTACAGGTTCTATGTAGCAGGGACAAGATATCTATAAATTTTAAAGTGGCCTACTAGTCTTTCTTTTTTATTCGAGTTTCTTGGAAGCATTGGCATTTACTAGAATTGCTCTAAAGTGCTCCAACCCTCGGTTTATACTTATTCTAAATGTAAGTAGAATTTATAACTAATAGCATGTGTGGTTCCATATTCTAAGGTCTCATTGTATAGTTCCTTTATCCATTCTTAAGAAAGCTTTATTGTGTCTGTTTATCTTTCACGCAAGCCAAACACGGAGATGAAGTGAAGGAAACTTGGAGCTTTTGATATAAAACCAAAGATTTGTCTTTCATCTAAGTCTTTGGTTTGGGGCCCTTCTGTTCTTTTAGTTTGAATTAATCTAAGTTGCCTATTTTTTCAGTTTCACTTTGTGATGGCAAAAGGCTCGTATCTTGTAAAAAAGTCAGGTAGGTATGAAAGCGAACACAGTCTATATGAAGTGAGGAAGATGGATCAAGAAGAATAGGTGGTAAAAAGGGTATGGCAGTATGCCCACAATCCTCTCACTCCAAACTAGGGACATAAAGTTGGTTATTTGACCTGATCCGGTCGATTGCTGTACTGGCCTTTCAATGTGCAGAGATTTTGTTTACATCTTCTTCTTCACAAGTCAATTCTAATGCACTTGACATTACAAGTAACTGCATTAGTGTAATTAATGGGTTTTTCGCAGGTTAAGCTTATTGTATCATACTATTTAAAGATGGATTTATTGAATTTACTTTTGCTAGGTGAGAATATAAATGTCCCAAAGGAACCCGTAGCTATCTACACCTTTCCCTTTAATGCTTGCCAACGTGACAGTCAGGCGATGCGGATGTGTTACTCCCAGCCACAGAATACCTGGAGTTCCTGGGAGCCAACTCTTACACTTGATTCAGCAGCCACCAATAACAACGGTTCAGCATTGTCTCCCACGGAACCTCCACTTCAATTTGCTCTCTCACGAAATCACATTGGCTTTCGTGGGGTCGTTTGTACTAGTAGCCTCCCTATTACGGTCAGTCGTTCTTTATTTCCCGTAATAAGACATGGGAAGAGTGTGTTTAGGTAGCAGAAGTGAGTCAGCATCCAAAAACTACTTTATCTGGCTTTTAAAGTACCGTGAGAAAGTGCTTTTTAAGTAGATTTATCCTATTTCTTCATTTTGCTTTTCATTGGGAAAACAACGGACCATATATCTCGTAGCGCTAATCGATTGGTTAAAGGAGTCTCCAACTTTTAGATTAACTTGTATTTTTTGGTAATTCATCCATACTTGCAATTCCTCTTGGTGGCTGATACTTAATAATGTGAGAAATGGAATTCTTTATCTTATTCAGCATAAAAATATCACCTCGCCGAACACCTATCGACTTTTGGCTAATATCCCATTATTTGTGCAGATGTGTCCGTGGTTGTAATGTTCACCTTTGTAATTGAAAATTTACATTCATAAGCATAAATAAGAAGACTTTGAAACTTTCTCTTGTTCTGATAATGGCATTGCAACTGCTCAAATTGACTTTCAATCCTATCAATTCTAAACATGTGGAAGTGTATTTGAATGATAAAATGAACCGCGAATTTAACAGCAAATGCCATCTTGAGGTTATTGTCTTGATATTGGTGATGCATGTGGGAAAATTCTTCTATATTGATTTTGGTTGAAATAATTGTCAAGCTGTCTTAGAAAAAAATTAAATCCAACCACCACAAAGAGTCAATCATGAAGATCTCATGAATAATTTTCAAAATAAGCTCTTCGAATGACTGTGCGCTATACCTTTTAGAGACCTGTTGCTTCATCAGCTGAAGATTCTGAAGGCAATGAGGGTGATATGGACGACATAGACGGAGATTCTGGAGATGAAACTCATCAGCAGTTGACGCCCTCTCTCTTCCCTGGTTCCTACTTCGTGATGGCTGGTCGGCTCTCCCAGTCAATTCTTCCCCCATCTCCGAAAGTCTCAGGTCTTTGGTTGTTGGATCCCTTTTCACCACAATCTTCTTCAGATGTTCGTGAGCCCACTTTCGCTCTTCCTACCGACCTCGATGGGCTTCTACACCGAGCAACTGCCGTTTGTGGTTCTGTAGCTCTTGCAAATTGGACTGGCCTTCAAGCTGCTGGGAGCGGTTACCAGGATTCAACTCCTGTCCACTCACACTTACTTGCCACTCCTCCAATTATGCGATTCTCGCGCTCGTCATCTTTGTCTTTAGATAATGAACTCTCTGAAGTTTCAGCGTCTACAGCAGCAGCTATGAACCTCTTTGGATTCCATAACCTTCACGATAGCAGGGGACACGGTGCTGGAAGCGATTCCGACTAGATATCTTCCTTCCATCTTACTTTATCCTACTTTCTGCACAGTATTTACACTTCTGCCACAATTTTGTTTAGTTTTAATGACTGATATTGCTAACCAATCTCTATTTGTCAAGGACATTGCAATACATTTCATTTTAAGATAGACAAATGCCATATTATTTTTTAATAGGTCTTGGACTCTCCTTGACTGTATTGATTTAGAATAATTATCAGAATTCCTGTTTATAAGTAACACTTTCTGTTAGTCATGAAGGTGATAAGTGGGAATAATATTCTGAAACCCAAGGGAATAGCGTAGTCTGGGAAAATAGCTTATTAAAGACAAATTCTTCAGCTAAAACTTTCGAATAATTATTTTGGGTTTCTCTCTCTTTTTCGTCAAAATTTGCGCTATTACTACCTTTTAAGGGGCGTCCATTACTTTATCACTTCAATACCGTTTCTGTCGATTGTTGCTTATCTTTGGAAGCGATCGAATAACTCTTACAGTATGAATTATTTCAGGTGCGAAGACTTGCAGCGTCCACTGGACAGATCAAATTAGTTTGAAATGTGGACATTTAAGGGGGATAATGAGTGGAAATACCATGGTTTCCTGATTACGCCCTGATGGTTTTATAGGAATAAATTTAACTTTGAGATCGAGAATAAAATGCGCTGATGGTGACTAAGAAAATCTACGCTTTTGGTTCACCTGGTCGAAGTTCTTCCCAATCTTTATTTTTGCTCGCTGAGTGTGTATTTTTGATTCCTTCACTGTTGCATTGTTGGCAGATCAAAGGCTTAATAACATGCTGAAGTGATACTGTTGTGCAACTACTAACAACCGTAACCATTACATATTCTCAGTTAACTCCGAATATTATTGCAGTGTTTACAGCTTGACGATATGTTATTTGTAAAGACAAACGAATATCGATGGAATCTATTAAAGTTAAAATGGTAGCCTTAAATTATCATAAGTATTCTTTTCTACTTTTCGTATTTAAGTAAAAGATTTATTTCATATTTCGCGTTGTGTGACCATAAGATTATATAAAATGTGAATATTTCCCACGACTGTAACCTTATATCATTTTATTCCATATCCTTAAATCTTCATTTCATTAAATGCTGACCCCAATCTGATATCTAGATCAGCCCCACCACAGAGGATTTAAAATAAAAGTTTTCTTTTAAAAAGATCAACATCGTTAACGACCCTTTCGCCCATTTCTCTGCAGCGAGAAATTTGCTAATTAAACACAGTTGTTTTTTTTATTTCTTTAATCATTTTAGGTAAATAGCTAAACAGGTACGCATTTCGTTTTGTGATAATGCTAAGAATAGAGGTGAAGTATGGGTAGGCGGAACCATGCATTCGTATTGACGAAGACAAACAAATAGCATTCAATATATTTTACCCGTCGAATGGATTCGAATGTGCTCAGTGACAGACAACCGAATCTAAATGTTCGATTTTTATTTCTTCGGGGTTTTATTTTTAATTCAAATTTTCTCACTTTCGTTTTTCCTCTTAGTGTGGCTTTGATTTGTAATCAAGGGTTCTAAATGGCTTTTCATGGAAGTACGTTTTCGATAAGTCACATGCTCTTTTAATTCACAAAATAAGGAAATCTTTTCATTTGCAAATTTTGCAACGAAATTGATCTCTTAATGGGAAGATGATTTGAAGACAGTGCCTATTTCATACTCGGGAATGTAATCCATCCATTGGTAGGTCAGATAGAAAAGCAAATGCGGTTAAATGATGCATAGGTTGTAACTAAATTTTCCATATAGTTGGTGGTTGGGTTTACCGAGACAAGAATACATGAACATTGACCAAGTATTCATTGCATTTTCAGACATCGCACACTGTTTTCAATAAATTATCGAAATTAGTATATTCTCGAAAAATTGTATATTTTACAAGTATCAGTGAAGCCTCCCCACTACTACAGAACGAAATTAAATATGCATTATTTCATTGCTTCAAATACCGTAGGGCAACCTTTTTCGCTTCTGTCACTTTATCATCCACAACAAAACGAAAACTTCAATTTATTCATGAAAGACGCCTATATCAAAGTAATAGTATAAGCACTTCAAAAATGCCTCAGAAATTAAGCGGTAAATAATCGACTTATGAACTCTGAAATCTTCAAATTTTCAAATTTTTCTTTAATGAAATAATGTATCACTTACTTCATCTCTTTAGTTCAGTTACTATTTACTTGTTTTCTTATGATTTCATAATGGCTCTAGGAAACGTAATAACAGACGAACTGCAAAATTTGAATAATAAAATACCTTGTTAAAGAGTACAGAACCCACTTCGGATCCTTGTTTGTTAATCGTCTTTATCAAAAGTCTTTTGTTTCAACCTTTGATGTGGTCTTTTGAA